ATGTATATCAGTGACAGTAACTAAAGATCCATTTGCACCATCATAATAATTATGATAAAAGTAATAACGTAGATATTGCGATAATAATAACGGTGGTAGTGATAACCGTATTCACGATAATATAAGTGATACCCGTGTTCATGATGATAATAACGTAGATATTACGACAATAATAACGGTGGTAGTGATGAGGATGTTGAATAAATGATGATTGCGTAAATATTGCTAATAAAATCATTGCACTACATCTAATAATAACAATGGAAATGATAACTACAATAACGATAATAATAACAATAACAAAAGCAAAAAGGATAGATATAATTCAACCGATGGCAATATTTAATGAGACTACGCTGGGAACATATGGACATAATGAATGCGATCATGACACACAAAGCGCTCGAGGTAATCACCATTATCTTATCTTGACCTAGTGATAAGAAAGAGGTAATCCTTCCACACGGAATTTACGTTGTCATAAGAATAAGTCGATTTCTCAAGCGTGACGTCTTTTCGCATCTTGTCTTCGTGTTTATGCTTGATTTTGGCGGGAAATTCGAATGAAATATGCGGGAAAAATCGACCAAAGGGAATCATAAATAAATTGAGGAAAATCGGGGATTAAATGGGATAATATGGAAATCGGGGATTGAATGGGATAACATAACAGATTATTCACTCGTTTAATAAGCCAATGTCTTATCAGTGTTTTGCTTAACTTGACATTTCCCTTCAGAGATTACAAGTCAGGAAATACACAGCATACACCATTAACATCAAAACGTAATTCGTACATCCATAGATCTTCAAAATAACTCATCCAGCAAAGTCCAAATATTTACATCTTGTCGTTGTAGTATAATTAAAAATGCCCCATATTAAACGACAGCTGATAACATGTTATCAGTCTCGGGTGTGATATTCGTTCCAGGGACCGACGATAACCTCAGTTCCAATATTTGTGTTGTGTGTGTCGCTCTCCTTCTCGCGGGCTCTACACTCACACTCCCTCTAACACACGTGACTGGTCGCTGATACGTATATTGGCAGGTAAAGTTAGTAGGTGATGCTTTACTTATCATAAAGATGTAGGGGTGTATATATATATATATATATATATATATATATATATATATATATATATATATATATATATATGTATGTATTGATAGCCTGAAAAAAATGAACATGCAAAACAAGGTAGTTGAAATGTAAGAACGTTTCGAAAACTAGCGTTCATCTTCAGTTTTGGAGCAGAGAAATTGAAGGCTTTTGAGAATGAAAGGGCTGGGCGACATGGTATAAAACAGAGCATGTGTATACTGTAAATTTATTTATATGCATGTATATGTGTGCATGCATATATATATATATATATATATATATATATATATATATATACTATATATATATATATATATATATATATATATATATATATATATGTGTGTGTGTGTGTGTGTGTGTGTGTGTGTTTGTCTGTACATAGTTTACACACACACATAGTTTACATATATATATATATATATATATATGTATTATATATGTATATATATATATATATATATATATATATATATATATATATATATATATATATATATATATATATATATATATATGCACATGTTTATATACATTATATATATATATATGTGTGTGTGTGCCTACTCTCTCTCTATCTCTCTCTTCTCTCTTCTCTCTCTCTCTCTATATATATATATATATATATATATATATATATATGTGCTGTGTGTGTGTGTGTGTGTATTTATTTATTTATTTATACATATATACACATTCCGGACATGGATAGATTCTTGAATCCGAGGGGCTGCATAAGTACACTGATAACCCTAATGTTTTATTCCATGTAATTATGATATAAGGCTTAGGTAACCCTACCATTCGCTGAACTGCCAGGCAATTGAACCGCCTGCCTTAACTCCGTGTACCTGTGAGACCTTGCCTTTAATGTTCTCTCTTATACTATGCTGTCGGGGAATAGTTTAACATCGTGATTCTCATCTGAAACTTATACTAGGAGAAGGAGAAGATACCCAGAACGAGTGATTATCAGTGGACCATGCGGAAAAAAGTGAAAATCAAGGCATATCTTTGTTTACTTTTCTTTGGCTTAATCTTACGTTTTTTTTTAATCTTTGGATATTCTTGCTGTTAAACATTATAATCCTTCCTGTAAAATATAGGATATTGATAATAGTGTTAGTGTGTGTATTAGTATCACTATGAATGCGAAGTAGGGGCATATGTAAGTGTATTGATTGCAAAAAAACATATACAAAACAAGATAAGAAGATAAGGACAGAGAGATGGTATATTTGTTCCCAACAGTGTAACGTAGGGTACTGGTGTACCCTAGTTAATGGGATGGTCATCTTTGTATCTCCATTCTCAAGTCGTCTCGCTTAATCCTTGGACTCGAACAACTGCTGGTATTGTTTTTCTTATCATTTCTATAAACCCCTTTTTGTTCCTGGCAAGACATTCATGACTGGCAATAGTGGCCTCCTAATAACTAAACTAGGAATGGCAGTCAAGAGCTTAGGTTTAATCTTTTCTGTCATGGCTACATCGTATCACGAATGACAGACGCAATAATATCAGAGAAAGTCAATGTTGGTAAGGGTCTAGATATTTTCCACATAAGTATTCATATTCCAATAACCGCATATAATCAGTCAGTCTGAATCCCCCATTCAACCCTTGCTCACCTAAGAATAGTCTGACCATGATGCTAGTCTTAAAATCTTAAAACTCTCGAAAACTTTAAAATCGTAAAATTCTCTCCCTTCAGGATGCTCCCGGCCTACAGCAACAACGCCTACGAGCCGGACGACGACCCCCATGAGCGCCGCAGCATGGACGACAGGTATTACAATCCTCGCGGGCGGAGTGACTATGAAGGAGGTCGCCGCCAGAGGAGCAGACGGCGGGAGGATTCCTTTGAGGAGAGGGGAGGACGAGGGATTCCCAGGGATCGGGAATCCCACGCCAGGGGGTGGGACGCGCCTCAGAGGAGAAGGGAAGGAGCGTCGAGGGACAGGGAAGGCCTTCAGCGGGACCGAGGTGCCTGGGGCGGCGCGGGATATGGCGCGATGGGCGGGGAAGCGCACGGGAATCGGCACCAAAGGGAACGAGATGAAGTCAGTGAAAGATTTCGGGAATATTCCGGTCGGGGTCCTGATCGCAGCCAAGCAGGCAGGGAGAGAGGCCAAGCGCGGAGCCAGGAATACGAGATGCAGGAGGCGAGCCACAGGCCAGCGGGTCGTGAGTCGAGGGAGCGCGGGGCGGAGGCGGCCCTGAGGAGGCGAGAGTTCCCGCGGCGACAAGACTTTTCCGTCGCGATTGACGACGCTGATGGGGGATATGGTGGCCATGGAGGCTGGAGGTCGAGTCATCAGTCTCCCCCTCGTGCTTTCAGGGGGGCTGACGCCGGCGCTTCAAGATACGCTGACCGTCAGCCCGACCACGGGTACCACGACGCGCCGCGACGGGGACGAGGGCGATGGGCGGGCGGGTCTGCAGGACATGCTCCCTCTCAGCTGGACAAAAATAAAGGTTTGATTATTCATGTGTTTATGCAGTATGGACGGACAATGAATTTATAAAATATTCATAAATATAATGCATAGGTATAGTACACTATCTATATACATATATATATATATATATATATATATATATATATATATATATATATATATATATATATATATATATATATATATATATACATAATATATATATATATATATATATATATATATATATATATATATACATATGTGTATATACATATATATATGTATATAAATGCATACATATATACATACGAGTACATACATACATACATACCTATATATATATATATATATATGTATATGCTATATATATATAATATATATATATATATATATATATATATATATATATATATATATATATATATATACATATATACATATATAAGGGCAGCTTAACCAAGCACTCACAAAACACAAGTTGAAAACATGGCAACTGCGAGACTTTATTGTTAGATTTTTTCTGGTCTCTAAAGATGTAAGCAAGAATGATGGAATTCGCATCACAACTTAACCTTTAAAAAAGTCTTCATACCTTCCAGGAACTCTGCGCCTCCGGCCCCCCAGGAGGCAGTCCTCGATCCGAAGGGAAACTCAAGTTGACGAAAACCAACGTACGTATTTTCTTCCTTCCCTTTCTCATCTTGGCAAACATACCTGTAGATATATTTTTCTTCGTATTCATAACCCTCAGCTAAGTGGCATTCCTCCCCGACAGCCGCAACGGAAGAGGAAGTTCTGGAAGTTTTGCGCACCCTCCGCGAGCAGTCCTGGAGCATGGCCACTCGAAGGAAGCGCCGGACGGAGGCTCTGAGGACCCTGGTAAGACCTTTTTTTCTCATATGAATTAAGATCCACCCTGAGAATGATTTATTCAACATGTTAACAGGATTATGCTAATTGTCCAAAACGTGAAGGAAAACAGATTTGTACTTTTAGTTTCATTACTGACCTATGATTCAGTTTACAGATTAGTATAATATCTGGCGGGTCCAGAGGAAACCTCAGTATCTGTTTAGATTCTTTTGGTGAAGAGTCACTTAGGCGGTAGCGCTAAGGCCCGTACTTTTAAAACCTTTCGCCAGGGCTGGCGAAAGGTTTCGCCGGGCGATCCGGAATTTCGTACTTTTAAAATCATGCCTGGCGAACGTTCGCCAGGGCTGGCGAAAGATCATATTGGAACAGCCTGGCGAAGAGAGCTGTTTGAATACCATTTTCTTGCTTTCAAATTATAAATTAGTAACATATTTGTGTATGATAGGATGTAGGAATCACATTGAAATTATAAAATATCTTAAAATCATAATTTGTTATGAAATAACGTATATACGTATTTTTTTCAAGACCTTCGATGTTCCAGTCGAGAGCTCAAGACATCAGCTGTATCCCTACCCCCTACCCTACCCCCACCCCCGAGATGACTTATTTAGATTTAGGTTGTTATTTTGGTTGTAAGGATAATGCTCTTTTCACAAATATTACCAGAAGTGTTTTTTATGGCGGCATGTTTACTTTTGGCTGTAGAAACATAGCTGTAGTGCTCCACCGCCCTATAATGAGGCGTCTTTAATGATACCCTTGTAGGCCTACAGTTCAATATCTTAATCAGTTAGGAATAGTAAAATAGTAATTTTTAAACTCTTGTTAAAGTATAAAGTTATTTTTTGTATAAAAGTATAAGGTTGATACAGAATAGTATAAAGTACTTTTAAAACCTTTCGCCAATGTTGAACATCTGAGTGAGGGAGGCCTTACTTTTAAAACCAAGGCAGGTGTTCGCCAGGCCTGGCGAACGAAAGGGATCGCCAGGCGCTAACATCTTGGATTCCTGCTAAATCTAGCGCTTCGGCGAATGAAAAAATACGCGAGAAAAAGCAAAAGGTTTTAAAAGTACGGGCCATAAAGTTAACCTTGTTATAGTATAAAGTGTAGTATAGCATAAAGTATAAAGTTAATTTTGTTATAGTATAAAGATATTTTCAACTTCTTTGTTATAGCATAAAGTTAAATTTGAACTCCTTTTTATATATAAAGTGAGACTATTGCGGAAACATTTTCGTCTTCTCTCGAGGTTAATAATTAAGTTTAGGTTATGTTATGTGCACTGCAGATGTAAACAAATTTGCGCTAGATTTAGCGGGAATGCAAGATGTTAGCGCCTGGCGAACGTTGGGTTTAAAAGTAAGGCCTCCCTCACTCAGAGGTTCGCCTGGCGAAGCTTCGCCAGGTGAACGCCAGCACTGGCGAAGGTTTTAAAAGTACGGGCCTAAGACCCTATTGCCTTGGCGGAGGTATGCGCTCTCTGTGTGCTTCTGGTTGTAGTTGTTTCCTTTTATCACAATTCCATGTGCACGCACATGGAATTGTGCTTGTAGTCGTGTTCATCTGTATATATATATATATATATATATATATATATATATATATATATATATATATATATATATATATATATATATATATATATATATTATATATATATATATATATATATATATATATATATATATATATATATGAACCTCCTGTTATATATATACACACATACACACAGTCACGGTCAAGACTCTGTCAAACCAATTTCGAATTCCGTTTCGAACCCGCTTAAAACCAAACTTTTCGTATAGGGCGAGACAGAAGCTTCAATTCATGGCATGATTTGTACATGACTTGCGTGTGTGATTTTGTTTGCGTGTGTATTATAAATAATATGTAGGTATGCTATATATATATATATATATATATATATATATATATATATATATATATATAAATTTACATCAATCTATAGAAATTCACAATTGTTGTCCATCCGCCAACACCTAATGTGCTTTGACCCATTTCAGGAACAAAAACACAAGAAGTGGTATTCGGCTCGACCAGTCACTTCCTTGGTCATGCAGGGAAGCAGCACCGTCAGCAACATCATGCAGACTCTAAGTGTAAGCGATGTTCTCTATATATAAATAAAGGGAGGTTTAGACATAGTTAACACACATACAGCATAACACACACACAGACATATCAGCGTATATGCACATAAAAGTGTATCATTTACTACAAATATACCGACTTTTCGGTAACGTACCGTGCCATACATTCATACAGCTATGAAATAAATAATAGTCTTCTATATATTCTGATATACAAACAAATAGATCATAAGATAGATAAATAGATATAAGGATAGACAGCAATCAGACACCTTTCCCCTGATTCCACATTGCCATCTTGCGAGGCAGCCGTGGGGAGGTATTCTGAAGAGGATCGAGGGGCGACACGGGGCGAGCGTCGTTGCCGTCTTCAATTTCCTGCGCGACATGATTCAGCTGAACCTCCTGTTGCTCCTCCTGTTGATCGGCGGCGTCGTTATCCCGTCAAGCTACTTTGTCAGCGACGATGGCGGCTCCCAAGGATTCTCATGGAGCCTCAACGACACAAGGAATCTGTGCGTCGGGATACAGCTCGACTTTGACAACCAGGTGATTGATCTCGATCTAAGGTGTTAGAAATGGACCCTTCTTTTAAAGGTCTGTCTTGTTGGGATATGTGAGAAGTATATGCTTATTTTACACCTTGAATGATAATTCAAGTGCTCTCTTTACAGACGTATGACTGTAACAAAAACTACACGGACATGATACAGCAGGAAGTAGACAGGAGCGCAAACGATATCATCGTCCTAGTGGGCGACTTTCTTCAAGGATCAGGATTCCTCGAGTGGACCTTCCTTTTCAGCGGCAGATACCCGGCTGCCATAGAAAGTGAGAGCTACCTCGTGAGCCTGGCCTATATCCTCACGATGCTCGTGGTCTACTTCATCTCCATCGTGTACGTGGTCTATTTCGTCGCCAAGTTCCTGCGTCAGTCCTCTGTCTCCCAGACGGACTACGGCATGACCTTCTCGAAGATCGTTTTCACCGGCTGGGACTTCACGGTGAGCGAGAAAGACGCCGCCGAAATCGAAAGAAATCTCGTGGTGTGCGAGGTAAAGACAGCCTTCGACGACGTCGACTACAGGAGTAAGCAAATGAGTCTCACGAGCAGAGATTTGTTCAAACTCTACCTAACCCGTTTCATTATCAATGTGGCAACCTTTTCTCTGATCATCGGCGGTTGGGTCGCAATATATTTCATGGTTATTGAGCAGAAAAATCATGTGACTGGCACCGACTTTGAAAAGTTTTTGTGGGAATATGCCCCGACTATTCTGGTGTCGGTTTTCAATTTTATCTATCCACTACTTTTTGACTTTGTGATCAAATTCGAACACTACTCCGGGAGACACGAACTTTTAATCACACTCAGTCGGTGCGTGTTAGTGAGGCTCACGTCCTTGGGCATCCTCGTAATTACTAGCCTAAGTGTCACATCCTCCGGGGACCGAAACTGCGAAAAGGACAACGAATACATCTGCTGGGAGACGCGCATGGGGCAGCAGATCTACTCCGTGCTGGTGCTCGACGCCATCATCCAGTTCGGCATGACCTTCGTCGTCAACGTGCTTCGGCGGGGACTCTGGAGGTTCGACAACAAGATCTGCAAGATGGTCGGGAGAATCGAGTTCTATGTGCCCGGACACGTTCTGGACGTCGTGTACGCGCAGACGCTCTGTTGGATTGGCATCATCTACGCGCCCCTGCTAGCTGGTGCTTCTCTGATCAACTTCTTCTACATGTTCCTCCTGAAGTTGTTCACCGTCACCGTGACCTGTTTCCCGGCAGAGAGAGTGTTCCGGGCCTCGCGCTCCTCGGCCATGTTCATGACTATCCTCTCTCTCGCCCTCCTCATGTGCGTCGTGTCCACCGGCTTGGCTCTCCTGCTCATCAAGCCGTCGCTGGCTTGCTCGCCCTTCAGAGGTCTCGACTACGCCTGGGAAGCCTTGACCTACTATGTCTGCCGTTTGGACAACTCGTCTGACAGCTGGATCAGGTGTGTTGATCAACCCTCAGGAGTATTAGCCTTTGATTATCTTGAAATGAAAACTTTTGAATAGTCCATGTAAATTTTCTATTTTATTATGAACGCAACCAATATTCAGGGGAAACTATACCATAAATTATCAACACTTTATCCTTCAGGGTTGTACTGTTCACGCTGGACGACATGGCTGCAGCAGTGGTTCTTCTAGTCGCGGTGGTTCTGCTGGCAACTTATTACATATCTCTCGTTAAAGCTCGAGGTTCTCTTATCAGAAGACTCGAGGACAAACTCAAGATTACAACCAAAGAGAAAAACTACCTCATGATGCAATACAATCGTTTATCCCCTAGTGGCACAAGTAATTAGTCAAAGTATCAAGGCTGTGTTTAAGAATCTTCTATCTTTAAGATGGAGTTGACAAGCGAATCAACGTGCAAATCATAGTGTTAGGGATCCTGTGAGGCGAGGTGTGTACGATTATATTGAACAATGTACAGTACAAAGTTTAATTTGTTGCATACCTGACAGAGCTGTGTTAGCCATCCTCCCCACATGGATTCTATTTGACTTTTCCAGTTTGTGTTAAATATCACTGTGATAATAACTATCGAACAAATCGGTCATCTTCCCTAGGGCTTCACGTAAAAGATTTCAACAATCAAAACAAATTTTCAGGTTCTTGAAAAAAATGTGATGCAAATCCAGTGCAACGGGGTAATAAGGAACAAAAAATCACTGAAGCTGCTGTGAAGAATTCTTCCAATCACAGCAAAGATTAGCAGAAGCCAGTGACTGATTCGGTCTCTTAAGTGAACTCTTTGACACGTAAAAAAAATATATACTATTTGTAATTCGTGTGTATGGGGGATTTAAGGGTAAAATTATAGAAATGAAGTCCCTAGTCGTGTTATTAACTGCTATTCTGTTAAACCTTATTTTAGAAATGATAATGACCTTCAGCAATGTTTTATCCTTTTAAAAGTATTAAATATGCTTTTCATATGTATATTGCATTACCAAATTTTGTTTCTTGATTAAAAAAAGTGTTTCGTCAACACCCTTCAGATCAATATTTTTCTCATTATCATTCTCGAAAGCACATACATAACAAAATGGCCTATGATAACTACTGCTTAAAACACTCTTTTAAGCTGTTGGAGGTGGCCAAAACTCTTCACTGATTATCTATGTTGATTTTTGTGCTTCAAATCTCTCAAACACTTCAGTCCTTTGAAGTATTCCTGGTCAAGTGATTATTATATATTATTGTCTTTATTGGAAAAGATGGTGCCCATGTTTGGTTAACTAACCGCTTGGAAGATGTTGCAGAACAATAATTCACTTCTTGCCAAAGAGTTTCAGTATTTCTGCATTAAATTATTCAGGGGTTTCATGGAATCGTACGACTTATCTGCCATTTTTTGTAGTTCGTTTATCATAGTAACTTGCCGTTTTTATTTGCACTTCTGGTGGTGTGTGTATTGCAAGCATGACATTTGTGACTGCATACCATCATTCTTCATTGCGTGTTATTAGTGGAGTTCTCTATTTAATTGACTTTTTATACTATTTACCTATTCGGTGTGCTTTCCAGCTGGTTCTATAATCAGAGATATCGTATGTCTCTTGTTTCGTAGTTGGTTTGATTCTTACGAACCTGTTTGATCTGATGCTTCTGCGCCATGTGTTAGGTAACACTATAGCTTTTATTTATTTACTTCTTTCGACATTTTTTTGCTTTTATCACCACCTCATGGATTATTATCAGCAAATCTGAAGCAAATAAAAAAAATATGCATTTCTTAAACAAAGGAACCAAAAGTTTATCAAGAATTAGGGCTTTCCAATGAGATGTGTAAGACTATGTAATAGGCTCTACTGCCAAAGCCCATAGTTATCTATACGAAAACCAAAGGACTGATAGGCTGGTATCACATGTTATTTCCAAGGTGTTATTTTGAAACCGATTAAATCAATATTCATTGCATTTCATTCAGAGGTTTATAGATGCGGACTATTTATAATATTTCTAAGGCCAGTCCATGTTTTATATTTTCTCTTCACATGTTTACTACTGATCTATATCTATCTATCTATATCTTGCTAAATGACTGTAATATTTAAACAATATATTATAATCCTTATATATATATATATATATATATATATATATATATATATATATATATATATATATATATATCCTGCTAAATGACTGTAATATTTAAACAATATATTATAATCCTTAAATATAAATATTATAATGCTTAAAAATACATAAAAATATCAATTATTGTTGCCTTGTTTAATTCAACCATTATTTCGTTCCCTAATTTGACATGAGATCAATTGGGAATGACACCACAGATGTGAATTTTCAAAGTCAAAGTGAATCATAAAAACACGTGAATCATCTGATGAATGACGTGCAAGGATTATTTTAAATCACAAAACCATTTGCTCCCAACCGTGAGAGCCTCCATTCAAACAATACAATAATCATGCTTTTGCAATCAATTAAGAATAAAAAATGATATATTTTAAGGTACTGCTAATAATACAAAGAACTCACATTAAGCATTTATTGAAAACTTGATAAGTGACCACAATATTCGGAGCTACCAAGTCTTGAATTAAACCCGGAGGACTGGGAACAGGCCTTTGAGATACTAACACAGGGCAGGCCTCTTCCCTGTCACTTGGTCCAGCCTAAGTCAAGACCAACTCAAAAGAATGAAAGATAATAACAACTGATGGCCAGAGAGTATCTAGGAATAGGTGCTAAGGCATTATCATATTTTTTTTCATCCACTTATGACCATGAGGGTAACAAGTATGACGAAAGCTGCGATTTTGACCTTTATGCTAGGTAACTATACAGTTTACTTTCCTATTTAAGCCATATTTAGACCCCATCCCAGGCTCGCAGTAATCAATCTCGCCACAAGTTGTTTACAAATGAGATATATTTTGTGGGTGTGTTACACGAATCTTATGTGGAAATATTATAGCTATCTTACATTCAACATGCCCATAACTGGATGTTTCATAAGCCACAATAGTAACACTCTACCAATCTAAGAGCCGAAATAGTAAAATGATTACATAGCTGCTATTGAAACCTCCTATGTCTCGTCCCGTGGCTACAGGTTTAGTTATAATACATGACATGTCTTCGGCAATAAGTATTCTTAACAATATTAATCAGTGTCATACTAGGATGAAACACGCCACGTCACAGGGAGAACGGCACTTAACCTAAAAACACCTTGACAGCTCAAATAGGGTGTGTGCACCTTTACAAATGTGTGATCATTCGTGGACATCTTTCAAAAATGGCTTTCAATGAAATTATATGATGTAACTCATAAATGAATAAAGGACATTTTAGCTGACAACACTACTTGATCATGTTATTACAATAAAAGGTCACAAACATTAAAATTTCTCACTCATAACATTAAAAAATCTTTAATTTCTCTCGAGCGTTATCGGTCCTGACTAGATCCTCTGACAACCGACATGTCATAAACTACAGTTGAACCACTGACCTTTTCTTCAAAAATTCCCTATTGGTACTAGAGGATAGTGTTCTCCAGATATCAGAAACAAAATGTAAGTTAGGTGGACTATATGTGTAGGGTAAAGCCATCTATTACAACTGGGACTGAAGAGCGGATCAATGGACATGTATGTGAGGATAACTTAAGGCCTCACAATAAAATCCTTATTATGGATATGTTGGAGGACCCGGAAAGACAATACAGGTCGTGGCGTTGACAGTGGAGTAGTGTTGGTGGTGGAGTGATGGCAGTTTTAAGGGTAGGCAGGAAGGCAGATGGCGCATAAGGAGGACTGAGAGGAATTCACACTCGTTAAGTCGCCTCCTTCTCAAAGCCCTCCTTAATCAACTCTTGCGGATGTCTTCCTCTTCAGTATTCTTCATAGACGTCTTCCTTCACTTCCCCGTCTTCGACTTCCGTCCTCCTGATGATCCTGTGAAGAAAGAGAACAGCGTTAAAATAGCCGAACCTTTTCCAGCAACTTGGGTTTCGATGCACCACTCAATATATCCCGTGTACAAGGCTTGTGAACAAACTCCCAAATGCAACTGTTCTATACATGCTCTCTGTTTATGATCTAGATTTGTATAAAAAAAACCCTAGTAACTTTTAAAAGCCACTAAAATTTTGTATGGCTAAATTGCAAAAGCCCAGGAAAACTTCGCGTTTACTAGTGTTGTCTACATATGACTTTCTCTATATTGTATGTCTCCCGTGCTAAGCTGACTACAAGAAGTTGCATCTCATATTTTGTTTTCTTATTTTCAGGGATCCCCATCAAATAATACGAACATTGGGGAGTTATTCACAGTTACAAATCAATGTTCTATTCTTATGTAATGGATATTTTTCATAT